TGTGTTATTTACTGAGCTCTAAGACCCCAAAACTGGAGTAATTAATGAATTGATATTGATACAAACTGGAGTGGCTTTAAGTAAGAAAGATTGCCTGCCAGAGTACAACCTGTCTAAATGTTAGACATTACTACTTTTAAACTAATATTCGATCATTGCTTGAGATAATTAAGGCCATTTATCTCTTTAAGGAGTACTATCTATTATTTTTTTAATTTTTGCTACAGGGTGCGTGTGTGCGGCAGAGAGATAGAGAGACAGAATGTAAGAAATCATCCCCTGGGGGGGAGATGGCCACACCATAATCCCTTTTTCTCCATGCTCCTGTTGGAACTTTGGGCATGCATGCACATGCACTTGGTGTGAGTTTCAAGCAACCATCAGGTCAAGGACTTAAACTGTGGTTGACTATGTGGGATTCCAGTGATGTAACCATTAGGCCATCTGCTTATTCCTATTTTACTTTTTTAAGAGTCAACCATGGTTCGAGACAAAGAGAGAGACAGAAAGCAAGAACTCACACACCCTTCCCTTCCCACCACTCTCCCCAGGGCAGGATGACCACACACACAGTAATCCCTTCCCCTCCATTCTTCTCCTGGGATTCTGGGTATTCATGCACACATGGCTGGTATGAGTTTCAAGGCTCCAGTCTGGGACTTGAACTGTGGTTGGCCAGGTGGGGAGTTCAGTGCCTTAAGCACTACACCACCTGCTGGCCCCAAGGAGTGCTACCAAGACCGCCTATTTTTCCCTCAGGTATCCATCATCTCATGTTTCAACATTCATTGTTTCACTTTATCAACATTTGTAAAGATCAATGGCCACAAGTGAGCTTTCTGTGCTTAACATTGAAGCTAAAACTATCGTGTGTGTGTGTGTGTGTGTGTGTGTGTGTGTGTGTGTGTGTATGTGTGTGTGTGTGTGTTAATGAAGTCTATGTTGTTTACACCGCTCCTATTTGCCCTCATTGGTGGATTCTGGCATGAAAGTAATGCCTCCATGATCTTGGGACTGAAGTGCATTAAATTGTAAGAAGATATACTTGGAAAAAAAAAAGACAAGTATCTACAGCAATTATGTTAGATAATCCATTAAATAGAGTTTAAAACAGGACTAAGATCACAAATTTCTGAAAAATCTTTATTTTTTTTAAAAGCAGGGTTAAACAACTCAACAACAACTTAATATATTTTTAAAGATAGCATTGGGTATATACTCATGCACAGAATCCATTTTCTAAATCAAGTTTCAATTGCTCCTCGTGTGTAGCTCTTTATCTCCTGGACACTGAGGGAATTTTCAATTACCATTAAACTTGATAATGGTTTGTTCTTTCCTTGGTTTCAGTTGGTAACACTAAGTTTTACTATTTTCCTGACTCTGCAAAATTCAAGCCCTCATTCTCTGGATTGGTCCAAATTAGAAGGCAAAATGTTGGGTGTGGCTTGAAACTAAAGATAAATATCTGATAATAATAATGGGTGTGGTAATATCCATGACTGGACTAACATATGGTATATTTATGCTGAGAAAATTCATTTCATATGCTGTAATGATACACAGTGATTGAATGTAAATAAATAAATAAAAATAAGTAAATAAATAAAATAATAAAAGATAATTCCTGAGAAGTTAATTGGTCAAAATAATTTCATATAAGTTAGGCATACATTGACAAAGCCTACAAATGTCATAGAGTTCCACCTCAATTTTTTAAAGAATTATTTTATTTAACTTTATCTATCTATCTATATCTATCTATCATCTATTTACCTATTTTAATTTGACCAGAGAGGGGGAAAGAGAGAGAGAGAGAGAGAGAGAGAGAGAGAAATTGAGAAATCAAGCTGCCTGGTCTGGGACTTGAACCACAGTCAACCATGTGGGAGTCCAGCACCCTTAACCAACACGCCACCTGCTGGCCCTCCTTTTTAGTCCAAATACACACAAAAGCAAAAGCTCATGCCAATGCTTTCCCCATCATCTGATAGCCCCCTAATGCCATTGTCTCTCTATAATTGTTTAATCTCAGGAAATATTTATTTCTTCCTGCCATTTTCAGTGAAATCTTAACTCTCAGAACCATTTTGTTTCTTCGGATTTGAAATCTTCTGGAGTCTCTGTTTTCTTCTGAGACTATCAGAATTTTCATCAGATGTTCTATTGGACATATTTCTAGACATATTTTATTCTTCCTTTTTTACTAGCTATCGTCCTATCTCCTCTTCTTCCAATTAAACAAGAGTAGATATTTTTCCTGTCTCCATTAGCATTTTTTCAATTCTCTAACCATTGGGGAAAAAAAGAATTAAAAATAGAACTGCATATGACCCATCAATTCCACTTTTTCATATATGTTTAAAATAATTGAAAACAGAATCTCGAAGAGCTGTTTGCACACCGACTTTCATTGCAGTAGCATTCATAATAGCCAAGAATTTGAAAACATGCCTAAATGTTTACTGAAAAAATGAACCAAAAAAGAAATAAAGAAAATGTCAGGCCAATCCCATGGTGCAGCAGTGCAAGTGCTGTACAGAGGAAGCCAAATTCCACATGGCTGCCCAGGTTTCCAATGTTGGTCCCATCAACTTCAACCAGGATCCTGTGCACATGTGCACAGGATCTTGATAGTATGCAGAATTAGAGGAAACAGCATTGCTTGACCAGCCCCATTGGAGGGTAGAAGGATCCTCTTTCTCTCTCTTTTTCTCTGTTTCTCTCTACATGTGCATATGCTCTCTATCATGAATAAGTAAACTTTAAAAAAGAAAATATAGTGTTTACATGCAATGGAACATCACTTGTCCATAAAAAAGAAGAAAATTCTATGATATGCTACAACATAGATGAAACTTGTGAAAGTTTATTAGAATCGAAATGAAGTAATTTGTGTCAACCTGTGTCAACTCTGACTACATCAAGCAGGGTGAGGCCATAGACAAGGTTTTTTCTCATACTAGTATGCCTGATAACAAGAGCTATCACAAGGACTCTGCTAGAACCATAATCTTGGACAAAGACCACTGCAGTATGAAACAAGGACTATTGCAACGATACCAGAAATTGTGTGCCCAACTGGTAACAACTGATGCCAATGATAATGCTCATTAGAAAGTATTACATAAATTCAGTCTTTCTACTAATCTGAAAACCACTTGCTTGTGATTTTTGCTTTTTTTTTAAACCTGCTTAAAGATTGTCAGATCTTAGTGAGCATGTTCAGGGCAATCTGAAATATTTTCCATCTGGAGTTCATGCTAGCCGCAGTCATCATGTTTATGCCAAATAAACTTTGGCTTTGCATAGTTTACTTTACTCAGTTAACCTCTTTTTAGGTTAACAACCTCAAGGATGTTATGCTAAGTGAAATAAAACAATCACAGGACAAAACTGCATAATGTCATTCATATAAAGTATTTAAATGGTTAACTTGAGAAAAACTAGACTGGAATAGAGGTTGCCAGGAGCAAAAGGAAGGGAGAAATGGGAAACTGCTGATTAATCTGTGTAGAGTTTGATGTGGGACGAAAAATTCTGGAGATCGGCTGTACAACTTGTGCTTATACTTAACAATATAGTATTGTACACTTAAAACTTTAAGAAGTTAAGGGACCAGCAGTTAGCGTAATGGCTGTGTCACTGGATTCCCATGTAGTCGACTGCGGTTTGAGTCCCGGACCCGGTGGCTTAAACTCATGCTGGGCACATTTGTGCATGCCCAAAATCCCGAGAGGAGAATGGAGGAGAAGGGATTGCAGTGGGGGTGATTTCTCGCTGTCTGTCTCTATCTTTCTGGCGAGCGCACACGCCCTATAGCAAAACATCTCAAAAACAAAACAAAACAAAACAAAAACCTTTAAGAAATTATATTTCATCTGATTGATTTTGACAATAAAACATTTTTAAAAGTCTACTAATTTTTTTCTAAGTGATATGAAAGCTCCTTGCAGCCTGAGACTCTGACCTACACCGTTATTCATGATTAAGCTCATGCCTAGCACACTATCATTTTTTAATACATAGTTTACATATATGTGCATGATATAAGAAATGGTTTATGATGCACAGTAATATCTGCTGTTCACACCTAGGTTAGAAAAAGCAAAACCCACTTCTCTCCAGCATTTCCACTCAGTCACATTCTTGGAATTTGTAGTAAGTAGAATATAAACTTGACAAAAGAGAGATTTGAACTATGATGGTCACTGAAAATTTCCACATGTAGAACAGAGCCTAGCACATGCAGGTTCTAGCATATGTAGGTCCTCAATAAATATTTGATGAATGAAAGAGTTTGACTGAGTGAATAAATAAGTAAGCCTATTTATGCTATATTCTATATGTTCACTAACCCTTTCTTCATTCAGCCTTACAATTCTGAAAGAAGACCCAAAGACTATTAACCGAGTGGAAATAATTTTTTTGTTACTTTTTCAAACATAGACTGAGAGTAATACGCAGTCTTTACTAAGTACCCTCTGCCTCTCAGAGTAACATCTGTGCCCAATCTTTTTAGCAGTAGCATATTCTCTTTCTTTCTTTCTTTCTTTTTTTTGGAGAGGTGTTTGCTATAGGGCGCGTGCGCTCGCCAGACAGAGAGAGACAGAGAGACAGAAAGTGAGAAATCACCGCCCCCCTCAGGGGGGATGGCCACGCCACAATCCCTTCTCCTCCATTCTCCTTTCAGGATCTTGGGCACGCACGCACATGTGCCTGGCGTGAGTTTAAGCCACTGGGTCCAGGACTCAAACCGCGGTTGACTACGTGGGAGTCCAGCGACATAGCCATTACGCTAACTGCTAGTCCCAGCAGTAGCATATTCTCTTTCAGTGTGCCCCCAAACGATGCCAAAACAAACTGAGAAAGTGAAGTGAGATAAGAAGGTCCATAATCAGACCTGTGTCCCACCCCTTACTCATCTTATGAACATCAACTAATGTATATGTTATACTATGTCTTCCCTACATCCTATATCCAGCTCTCATTCTGCTCACCTCAACAGTTAAGGTGTCTCCAACATCCTTCCTCCCATTCCTGCATGCAGCTTTCTTAAGTTCCTTTAAGCCTTCCTCTGGCTTGTTGTTAATAATCAGCCACCGAGCTGACTCTGTCAGATACCTGATGGAAGAAGAGCACACAAGTGCAGGCAACTCAATTTTCACTTTCTCATTTTTCATATTATCATGATCCTGAGATGTCTTTCTATCTCCATCTAATAACCATCACTTGTTTGGTTATATCAGGAAACATAAACCTCAAGTTTTCTTGTACCACTGCTAAGAAAATATTAATATAAGAATGACATCTCCAAGCAGCACACTTTCATTGCAGGGACTGCAGACCAGGAGTTATATGGACTCCTCTTTTATTCAGGAGGTTGCCAGTTTTAGCAAATAAAAATGTTGTGTGCATACTTAAATTTGAATTCAAATAAATCACGGATTATTCTTTAGTAAACTATGTCCTATGCATTATTTTGGACACATTCATACCAAAAATTACTTGTTGTTTATTTGAAATTTGAATTTAATGGAATAGTCTGTATTTTATCCAAGTAGCAAATAGAAATGCAGAACTCTCAAATAGAAATTTTACATATACAATGAATGATAACCATTGAAATCAGGATCCATACAATATTTGGAATATTAAATAAAATATATTTGTTGATGGGGCCAGCAGATGACATGGTGGTTAGGGCACTGCATTTTCACATGGTTGACCACAGTTTGAGTCCTGGACCTGATGGTTTTCTCACTTTTCCTCTCTTTTTCTCTCTGGTGAGCATAAGTGCCCTATAGCAAATTAAAAATAATAATAATAAATAACTGTTAAATATATATATTATATATTGTTTTCCTGAAATTCAAATTTATTTGTGTCCTTGATATTAGCGAGAACCCTATCTGTTCTTCTTTTTGAATTGCACATGGGGCACAGATTAATAGGACACATGCTCAAGTAGTGACCCAGCAGAATTCATGTATCCTAATTCCTTGTACCTTGCATCTCAAGTTCCTCTAAGGCAAAAGAAGAAAGCATTCTCATACCTTGAGAAGAAAATAAGGACAAATACTGGCGCAGAAACCACCAGTTGGAGGGTGCGCCAGTCACGAATGGCATAAGCCAGGCCTGTCAGGAGTACCTGTCCAGCACTAAATGCGCAGACTCCTAGTATCATTCCCAAGGCTTGGAACCTGGGAGCTACCCATTCTATAACTGAAAGAAAACAGAAACAGGATTTTGACTTCAAACAAAGGTTGAATTTCAAAGACAACGTCAAAGCATGAAAAACGTCCAAGATCCAAAGTGTTGACTCACTGAGTATAGAACAGTTTGCCATGATGGCTGGGGTAGAAATCCCAGCCAAGAAGCGCAGCAAGCAGTAACTAGGGAAGGTGCGAGCAAAGGCCACACAGGTGTCAACAATGGCGAGCTGGAAGATACACCACTTGAGTATTAAACTCCTTCCAAACCTGAGAAACAGAGAGAGATGACATAGTGAGTACAATTACAGCCTGTTGTGAAAATTAGCAAAAAGAAAATGCACTTTGAAATTCAGAGGATGTTTTAGCAAATGAAAGGATGCACTCCAAACCTAAAAGCATCAGCAGATGACTACAGCTGATCTCAGAAGCAAACTTCCCTATTTGTAAGTAGATACAGTGTATATCAAAGCTTCTTCTCCAATAGGTTACTGGTAGATCTTAGTAGATACAGCAGGCTTCAGTATTAGAAAATTTAGCACATCATAAATATCCCTTGTACAAACACATGCATTTAGTATAGTAAAAAGTCTGCATATTATCTAGAACACAGGGTTCTGTGATGGACTGATTTGAATTCTTAGCAAATTTATATGTTGAACCATAATCCCCAATGCAACACTGTTTGGAGAGTGGTCCTTTGGGAGGTAATTAGGTTCAGATGAGGTCAAGAGGGTAGAGACTTCATGGTGGGATTTGCGTACTACAGGAAGTGACTCCAGAGAGTTTGCCCTCATGCTCTCTCTCTCTCACCTCCGTGGAAAGACACAGAAAGTAGCAGACTGAAATCTAGGAGAGCCTCACCAAGAACCGAATTGACCAGTACCTTAATCTTGGACTTCCCTGCTTCTGCCCATAACTGTGAGAAAATGCATTTCTATCATTTAATCCACCCAGTATGACTTTTTGAGGAAGACCAGGTGACAAGTCCTGCTGAGCTCCAGTCATCCAGCTCCTGCTCCTGACTCACTGCTGTCTGCTCTCGCTGAGAAACAAGTTGGAAACTGCACTGCAGTCCTGGCTTTTAAAGATACTGGAAAAACACCTGTGGAGCCAGAGGTGGCTATTCACCGAATTAGCACTACTTTAACCAGAAGTAGCGTGAAGTCCCTGGAGAAGGCGCGTGCTGACTTAATCAGACGTGCAAAGGTAAAGGATCTCAAGGTGAAAGGACTAGTTCAGATGCCTACCAAGCCTTTGAGAATCACTACAAGAAAAACACCTTGTGGTGACGGTTCTAAGACATGGGATCATCTCCAGATGAGAATCCAAAAGCGACTCACTGATTTGCAGTCCTTCTGAAATTGTTAAACAGATTACTTCCATCAGTATTGAACCAGGAGTTGAGGTTGAAGTCACCATTGCAGATGTTTAAGTCAACTATTTTAATAAATTGATTATCAGCTGTTAGCAAACAAACAAAAAAACATGCAGTATGGTATTTTGATATGACAACCTCAGCTAATAAATATAGTCTTAAGTCTGTACTTGGGACTATGGGACCACATAGGCCATGGCAAAACTGATGTGAAAGGAACATACGTGGAAAAATACATCAAGTCACTGATAGGTTGTGTAAGAGCTGAGTGTGGATCTGTTGGCCCTGTCTAATGAATTTCTTTTGGCACAGGACCCAAAGCTCTGACAGAGGAATGTGTAGATAGTTTGATGAGGAAAGCTTAGGTACAATGAACATGAAATAGAGAAGGAAAGTTAAAAAAAATAGGAAAAGGAATTCTGTTTCAGAGGTTTCTGGGAGAAAGGGCCTTTTATAGACAACTTGGACGAAATGGCGTGAGCTGGAATTAGGAAAATGCTCTGCAATCTTTGTTACTCTTGCAGCACATTTAAATCATAAATCTTTTAGCTTCTGAATGCTTGCTGTGGTTTGATGCCCTCCCCTCACTCCAAATTCGTGTGTTAGGACTTTATAATATTGTAAAGGTGTTTAGTGAAAACTTAATCCCTTCGTGGTGCCCCAGGATGGAACCTCTGGGTGTGATAAAGTCATTAGGGACTGTGATTGAGTTCTGAGGAGTTTACAAACAGAAGGAATGAGACCAGAAGAGAGAAAAACTCATGGATACAGACCACAATCCGCAAAAGTTCTGCCTTCTGTTGTTTTGTGATACCTTTGGATTTTACTGCCATCCAAATCAAATCTGTTATTCTTTCTTTTTGCTTTCTCTTTCTCTTCCTTCCTTCCTTCCTTCTTTCTCTTTCTTTTCTTTTTTTTTTTTTAAGAGAGATTTTTGCTATAGACATGTGTGCTTGCTGGAGACACAGAGAGAGACAGAGAGAGAGAAAGTAAGAAATAACTCCTCAGGGGCATGGCCACAGAATTCCTTCTCCTCCATTCTCTCAGGATTCTGGGCACACACACACACACACACACACACACACACACACATCTGGGGTGAATTTCAAGCTGGCAAGTCTGGGACTTGATCCTTGGGAGTCTAGTGCCACAACCATTATGCCACCTGCTGCCCCCTCCTTTTCCTTTATAGATCACCCAGTCTCAGATATTTCTGTTAGCAATGTAATAATGGACCAGATAGATATTGGCATAGTCAAATAGGGCTGTGTTTCTACAGATACCTGAAAGTGTGGAAATAGCTTTGGCATTGGGTAATCAGAATGGGCTTACAGAGTTCAAAGGAGCAGCAAAACCATGGAACTGAGTTAGGCAGAAAAAGCCAAAGATTTTGGAAAAGAAATTATAGAAAAATGAAAACATATTGTGACTATTGAAAGGAAGTGATTATATCTCCTTGTGGATATCCACATTTATATTTTATAGAATTCTCCTTTTTTGATAGAGAGAATGTTTTCACTAAAGAAAATATTTCCTTCTCTTTGATGAAAAAAAGAAAAAGAAAAAGAAAAGAAAAGCCTAGATTCTGGTGGAGGCTTGGAAGAATCATTCAGAAATAAACTGCAACTTTTTAGAGATTGGTTAAAAGATGGTGACCAGAATACCGATAAAAATATGGACTGTAAAGACCATTCTGATGAGGCTTCAAAAAAAAAAAAAGAATCATTTATTGTATTTGTATATAATAGCAATGATTAATTAGAAATTTAAATTATAATAAACAACTTCATAATTTTGACAACTAAATTAATTAGGAATTAATTTAATGGAAAAGTGCGTGACTTTTCTGACAAGCTAGAAAACATTGTTGAATAATTAAAATCTAAATATAGGGATGATAAATATTCTTGGCTTGGCCAAGCTTTACTCAGCCTTTCAAATCTTCTGCTAGGCCTATCTATGCACTTCCTTGTAAAACACAGTTTTAGCAAAGACTCCTGCTAAGTCAATTTAGCCAGAAATTCCCATACTTGATATATGATCATTCTTGATAGCTGATCAGGTTCCTCGTCCTTCTCCGCCCCCCCAGGTAATGTCTGATCATCCTGGCCGATCTCAGCAAGAATCCCATTAGGTCAGTTTAGCCAGAATTCCTCTCTCAATGTTTTCTTTCTTTCCTTTTTTTTTCTTTTCATGAGTGACAGAGACAGAGAGACAACACCCCCAATAGAGTCTGGACTCCTCAATCTACTGCCAGCCCTAGCCAGCCCCAGATCATGGGGACATGAGTGCTCAGCATATTCTAGGACTCTGAATGTGAACCTAGAATCTTCCCGTGTGGGTCAGCCTCAGAGAGTGTAGTGTTTTACTGCTGCACCCCCATCAGGCTCTTTGATGTTTCCTTATAGTAATTTCTTATTGAATAACCCCATCTGGTTCCTTGTCTATCCTGTATTAAGAGTTGAACCCAATCATCCCCACTGCCAGACTGTGCAGTGGTCCCTGTTACCTATCATTATGGTTTGAATAAAGTCTTCCTTATAATGCTTTAACAAGTATCACTGAATGATTTTTACTTTTAATTAATTAATTTATTTTTTTGAGAGGTTTATGCTACAGGGTGTGTACGCTGGCCAGAAAGACAGAGACAGAGAGACAGAAAGCAAGAAGTCACCCACAGTGGGGATGGCCAAGCTGCAATCCCTTCTCCATTCTCCTCTCGGGATCTTGGGCACGCACGCACATGTGCCAGAAATGAGTTAAAGCCACCAATTCTGGAACTCAAACCGTGGTCGGCTACATGGGTGTCCAGTGACATAGCCATTATGCCAACTGCTGGTCCCATGATTTTTTACTTTTAATAGGGAGTGCTCTCATATTCATAGATCAGAAAATTCATTATTTAGAAAAGGGCAGTCTTGGGCTGGCCCTGTAGCATGGTGGTTAAGCCTTGTGTGTAAGGAGCTGGATCTCCCGTGACCAACGATGGTTTGAGTCCTGTCCCTGATGACTTGAAAAACACTCTGAGTGCATGTATATGTGTGAATGTCTAAGGTCCTGATGAGATGGAGAAACAGAGAAAGGAAAATGCAGTGTGACTACACCTCACCAGAGGATGCTTTATTTTCTCCCACCCATCTCTGGCAAGTACAGGTGTCCCCTGGTAATTAAAAAAAAAAAAAAAAGGTAATCTTACCAAAACCATGTAATGTAATCCCAATAAAAATTCTAAAGAAAACCACTTTTCAGACTCCTAACACCACAACATTTTTTACTTTTACATAGGTGGAATGGATAGCATATAACCATTTTTTGCTATTCTTGGGTTTACCAAACAGCTTTTGCATTTATCTATATTACCACATGAAATACTTTATTCATTCCCTTTGTTGTATGAAAGTCCTTTCTGTGAATATTTCTCATCTTATTTAGCCATTCTGTAAGTAATGGAATTCTAAATTATTCTTAGCTATTGTACTCCTTTTAATTTAGAGTTAGTAAATTTGTAAGGCTAATTTTTGGGCTAATGTTTTTGTGTAATAACAGAAACATTAGTATTAGTGTTTAAAAGTTTTTGAAATTTTTTTTTTTGTATGGTTAGAGTATGCATTGGCTGAGTTTTTTGAATGGCTTGTAGAAGATAGACTTGGTCTGAGGATTTAAATTTTTGTTGTTTTTAGGGCTTTGTGGTTAGTAATTGTTTTTGTAAAACTGCTGGTAGTAGTATAAGTTGAGTTATGTGGTCGGATTTAAGAAGTTGAATAATTTGAGAGGTAGAAACTATAACTTTAATTCTTTTAGTATAGTCTGTATTTATGACACTAGGCGTTACTACTAATTTTTTCAATGATATGATTTTTAAATTAATTTTACTGTATTTTGTGGCAAAGGTTTATAGACTTTAGTAGGAATTGCCTGTGGACTTATTTTAGGTGTTAATATTTTTTTGGAGGTGGGGCTGAGATTTAGTCTTGTGTTACTTGGGGTTGTTTGATAGAGGTTTTTGGTTATTTGTGGCCTGTTAAATATTTGTTATTGACTTGACTGTTTTGTGTCTGAGAGACTATTTCTTTTTCTTTGGAGAGGTTTTTGCTATAGGGCGCGTGCGCTCGTCAGACAGACAGAGACAGAGAGACAGAAAGCGAGAAATCACCCCCCAAGGGGGATGGCCATGCCGCAATCCCTTCTCCTCCATTCTCCTCTCGGGATCTTGGGCACACACGCACACGCGCCTAGCGTGAGTTTAAGCCACCGGGTCCAGGACTCGAACCATGGTCGACTACATGGGAGTTCAGCGACATAGCCACTATGCTAACTGCTGGTCCGTCTTGAGAGAGTATTGAGAGGGCCCCTACTGTTTGACAGGGCCAGGGTTGGTCCCATGTTTTGTTTTTTGGGGCCCTAGTGGCCTCTTATTTATGTCTGTTTTGGATTTTATTTAGTGGCAAAGGTGTCTTTTTTTTTTTTTGGCATTTAGTATATATTTTGAGGACTTTTGTGGGTGTAGGTGTTGGGCCTTTAGGTTTTTTGGTAGCATATATATATTTTTTTATTGTTTAGGATATTGACAATCACAGACCATGTCTTGGTTTGTCACAATTGAAACAATTTTTTTTTAAATTTTTGTTGCATAACTTTTTTTAATGTAGTTGTTAAAGCCATACTTTGGATTTGTGGTTTTTTAATGTCTTGACACAGTCTAATGACATTATTTACTGTCCCCACTTTCTTTTTTGGAGCAATAGTTGTTTTATAAGAAGCATTAGTATTTTTAAAGGTCAATTGTTTTGTCTTGTCTCTTGATTAGAGACTATTTGTGATATGGCCTGTGACAAGCGGGAAATAAAATTTTGATATAATTTACCAGGATTTTGTTGTATACTGATTAAGCTATTTGTTTTTTGATTTTGACTAGGACGTCCTTTTTAGCAATTTAAGCATATTATGTTAATTTGTTGATAGGTCTGTGGAATATATTTAATTTGTGTGTTAGTATTGGCCTATTTTTCTGTTTTAGTTAACATTTTTAAATGTGATGGGTATTTTATGTTGTTCATTTTAATTTGCCTGTTTTTGGGCTTTTTTAAACTAGTTAGATTTTTATAAAAGATAATCTCTTTTTGATAAGCATGCCTTGCCTACCACTTGCCAATTATTAGGAGTAAAGGCAGATTGTGTAGTTGTCTTTAATATCACAATTGTGTAAGGTGCCACGGGACTATATTGCATATAAGTTGTTTTTAATTGTTTTGAGCATTTTAAAGGATATTGGCTCATGCTGACGTTAATTTTGATTTGGATTGTCAGGATTAGGAGCCTTTATAACAGGGCATAATTTAAATTTTGATTTTTTTTTTTTTTTTTGTCTGCTGCACAATGTAAAGTTTTTTGGAGGGGTGTTAAAGTGGAAGTTGTTTTTTGTTTGTTTGTTTTCGTGTCATTTGATATGTAAGTAGGTTTTGACTGGAAAGCAGTAGGCTACAGAGGGGGAGCATTGGGCCTAAAGGCAGTAGTTTTGTTTTCCTTCCGCCCTGTAAGTGCTTTGGAATTTGTAATTTTAAGTCTGTCTAACTTTACAAGACTGTCATTTTTTTATTAGGTATTATTTTTGTATTTTTGTCTCTAGTAACAGACTTTAATATTTTAGGTAAGAGGGAGGCATAGCCTTTTGGAATGTTATTTGGTGGAGTTACTGAACCAACTTTGTTTTTTTTTTTTTTTGAGAGGTTTTCACTATAGGGCGCATGCACTCGCCAGACAGAGAAAGACAGAGAGACAGAAAGCGAGAAATCACCCCCCAGGGAGGATGGTCACGCCACAATCCCTTCTCCTCCATTCTCTTCTTGGGATCTTGGGCACGCACGCACACGCTCCCTGCGTGATTTCTAAGCAACTGGGTGCAGGACGCGAACCGCGGTCAACTACGTGGGAATCCAGCGACATAGCCATTACGCTAACTGCTGGTTCCCTGGAGGGTTTTGTTTTAAACACTTTTTAATTAAAATTTATAGGGAGAAAGCAAAGATGGGAATTTTGCTAGGACCCTCTGTTGTATATTGTTTTTTGATTTGTTTTTTGACTTTGTCTTAAGTTTTTTCATAAACTGTTTTTTATTTTGGGAATTAAGGGCATGTTTTTTGTATAAAAATTAGTAACTGACATAACTGATACTAACTTTATTGCCCTTAGCTTTTAACATATAAGACAATATATGAATATATATATATATATATGTACACATATATATTTAGACAATTTTATCTCTATGTTTTACACCTGATAATAATAGAATTTACTCTTTTTTATTTTATAATTTTATTTTACTTTGATTTTTTTTACTTCTTTTGTTATTTTTTTACTTTGGTATTTTTTTGTCTGTTTTTTAATTTTGGTATCTCTTTTACTCTGGTATTTTTTTACTTTGGTATTTTTAAAATTTTGGTATTTTTCTTACTCTGGTATTTTTTAAATATTTACTTTTACTTTATTTTATAGGATCTTTACCTTGCTCAATCATATTTGGCTGGCTGTAAGGAGTGTTTACTCATCTGACTCTTTTTTGTACTCAGGCCCCACGTTGGGTGCCACTTTGCCGGGACTAGCTTGTCATGAATACGTTTTTTTGAGTGGGGAAGGCTGTGGATTAGAAATAGATGCAATAACAAAATACACAAAGACACACAGGTATAGAAAAGTGAGGATTGGGTGGGCACAGTTTTTTTGATGGAGAAGTTGTGACTGGAATCAGCCTCAGGATTATTCTTTTAAAGGGCAGATAATGGGGGAAGGGGAAAATAGAATGCATGTAAAAGAAATGAGGAAGAAGGAAGTGGAATGTGAAGAGAATAAGGGAGGAGAAATTGGGATGCAAAGCCAGTTGTTTTTGGATGTAAATTGACTGAAGATGTGAAAATGACGGGCGCCATCTAATTTTTTTTGATTTTTTGGGGGGACAATTTGATAAAGGTTTATGACTTCTTTTAGTCTGATACTGGACAGTATGGAGGTATTGGGTATCAACAAATAACAGGAAGACTACCATTGACAACAGGCAGGTACTGCTTTTGTATGTAAATGCTTTTTAATAGCCCTGCTAGAATAGCTTAAGGAAGCGCATATTTGCATGTATCTTTAGGCCACATGTTTTAATCACATGTTTTCAGATTGGCTGCTCTCTACATTTAGCCATTCTGTAAGTAATGGAATTCTAAATTATTCTTAGCTTTGGGATAGTATGAATAGTTGAGTTTGCAATTTCAAAAATAATATGACCTTTTCTACACAAATCATTCAGTGTTTACCCTCAGTTTTCAGATGGTGTTCAAAATCCTTAGATTATTTTTCTCTTCGGATTCACTTAGTTCTCCACTGCCTACTCCTTCACTCCCCCATTCCCACCACCCTGTGATACACAGAAAATAGACATATCTATATTTTCTCATGATGTGCTCTCAGAGGGCCAAGTTACTGCACTATGGGCAATGAACACTGATTGGTCTCTGCTATAAATTACATTTACTGTCATATCTATAGAGATCACAGTCTATGGCTTAGACAACAAATGACATGATGCTGGTGAGTGGTAAGGGACTCCTTAATTCCCCGATATCCCTAAAGGGGAAAAACACTCGGGTGATAGCAATGGTTGGCCATCTGTTTCTGAAGAAGTACTGCCAGGCATAGGTTACTGACATTTCTAAGACAATAACTGTGACAGTAGTTGTTACATTGATACCGCATATGGCTGCAAAACTAAACTATAAAAAGCTGGTTTTGCAAAAGAAAAAATAAGAATATTGGTGTTACTTTTTAAACACACCACCAATGACACATTGCTGTGTACCCACTGGCTTCAGAGAAATGCCTTCCTATCACATGTGTGTGACCGTGATGAGATAGCCATTTTCTGACACCCACAAGCATTCAGCACACATGGTTCAGGAAAGACCGAACATGGCACTCCTGGAGGAGGTGCACAACAGTATGTGACACCACATTTCAACACTGTCCAACCCTGTCTTGAATTCCTTCAGATCTAAATGAGATGTCATGTCTATGTCTTATACGCAGTACTCGGGGCTTGACAAAACAGTACTCACTACACAGACTATAGTTCTACATTTGTGGTTCTTGATCCCTGGGGACTCAGGGAGTTCCAGGACAGTGTGATTTACAATAATTATTTCATGATGAGTGAATGATTCATAGGTGATGGGGATACTCACTAGTAAAGACAGTTGTGGACTAGAGACACTCACCTGTCTGACAAATAACCAAACACGATGCTTCCCACGAGTGTTCCAGCCATGAATACGAATTTAGCCACTGAATTCAGTGACTCAGATTCACATACCAGGTCCCACTGGAAAAGAAAGAAATGACCCCAGCAAACTCATAACTCCTCAGAGTTAACATCAGAGGCCCTTAACATTTCCTGCAAATGATTTTCATTTGCATTGAGACAAATACATTCATTATATCAGGATCCTGCTTTTTCTCTCTAGAGTCACTTTTCCATATGACTTGACCTTTATCATTCTGGTCTTGGCTTAAACATAACTTTCTCTAGGGAGCTTCTTGTAGGTTGTATTAATGGGTACTCTTATTTCATACTTAGTGGTTCTCAGACTTGGCTACCCAATGTAATAATCTGAGGAGTTTTAAAAATTTACAGATTTCTGGCTCAACTGTGGTGGCACAGGTGGCAAGGAATCACTGCACGATGCTGGAGCCATATGAGAAGGCCCTAGTTTCAGATCCTGGGTTGACCTAAACATGCCAGACATGCCCCTGGGCATGCCTATTATGGCTGGATGGATGGCTGCAAAGGTGGGAGAATAGGGATTGTAGCATGGTGAGATCCTGTTAAGGGTGCCTCTCTCTCTCTGTCTACCTGACTATGTCTTTCTCTAGTGAAAAAAAGAAAATAGAAAGAAAAGAAAGAAGTTTTTAAAAAATAAAAGAATTGACTGAAGTTTGAATACCACCACAGACTTTCTCATATAACTGCTCTGAGGTTACATCTGGGTATTGACATTTTGATCAAAGTCCCAGGCATTATTCACTTGAAATCAAAGCTGAGAATTATTGACTTACCAAAATATTTATAATTCACAAATTATTTGTTTAAACTGTGGTTTTCCCAAGAATGAAGGCAATATGATGGCAGGGTTCTATTTTTAAAATTCATTAGACTCATTATTTATGTACTTTCCTGATGTTCAACAGAAAAAGAATTGATATTTGCTTAAAGAATAAGAAAGAAGTACCTACATAATGATTAAAGGTTTGGAGCATGTTCATTCCTTGTGTTATGTTTAAACACCCAGGTCACATACACATGAAAGGAAAACAGAGCCTCTTACCTCAGTCACAATAGTGGAGAGGAAGGAGCTTTGGTTATACACCCAGCCATCCATGCAGGGCTCTGTGTCTGGCTTGACTGTGTTTGAAAACGTCTCATTTAGGTGAAGGAGCTGCCACTGAGGATGGATGAAGCGACGACACTTTTCTGGCCTCAGGTTTGAGTCCAGTGGGATGGAGATTCTCAGAAGGGCTTCTTTGCTGAGAATTTCAGAGTCATTACCAGAGACAGTTTCATTGTCGAGGACGTGGACCCAGCAACGATGACTTGGAACAACTGCAGTGAAGTTCTCCAACATAACACGAGGGTTCACCATGATACAAATGGTCAGAAGAACAATGGTGTGAAGGATCTGAAATCTTCCCAGACCTCCAATTTGATCTAGGAGAATTTGAAAGGCCATGGAGGCTGTGAAGATTATCCCCAATAGGATGCAAAAGACTATCTAAATAAGTTCAGCGAGAGAAAATGTTTACTTCCACTAAGATGTATCACGGAAGTTGATCCTAACCTCACTTCTCAATGGGCTCACCTCACCACTGTAGCAAGCCCCTGGAAGATGGTTGCTCAGATTATTTGGAGATCAGTAGTTAGCCATTTTCCTTAAAGTGAAAAAGAGATTTTTTCCCAAGCAATGCTGACCGTTTACAATGACATCTGTTCAAAGTTTTACTTTGTGAGAATCCGTGCCATCAGCAGTTCCCAAAGGGAACATTAGACTTTGGTCATCACATTCTCTGTAAACAAAATAAAATAAACCTGCTATGTGGTTTTCAGTCCTTTCCAGAATTCGTAATTTGTGAAATTCAAATGTGAAGTATGTGTCTGAGATGATGCATATGCTGATTATTCTAATTTGATGATTTCATATCATGTTATAAACATGTATTGAAATATCATATCCCATACATATACTTACTATGTGTCAACGTATTTTTTTATACCTTTATTTTGTTTTTAAATGTATACACCAACACATAAAGTGAGTGGATAGGTTGCTCAAGTCCAATAGAGGAAAGATTATAAAGTACATGAGAAACATTCACATAGAAATGGGTGATGGAATTAACATCCTTTCCTAAAGAACATGTGTATTCTATACAAATGAGAGGATTGTGACAAAGTATTTGTAGGTTCAAGGGCCAGCCACAGTACTGAGGTATAATAAACGACAAAAGTCCTGAAAGCCGTTCTCTGTCCCATATCCACTGAAGCCTCATCCGTTTCTCTGGAGGGCCTTTTGTGCTCACTGTCTGCTGGACTTTCTTTGTGGTCTCCTTCTCAGATCTCATGGTTTCTGGGATAGGTTCTGCCTCTTTCTTTGTCTGATCCACTGGGACAGGCTTTTCTCCAGTCTTTTGCTGTACAAATTTGGGTGGAAATTTTTGTCTAGGACCTACAAGTAGAGCATCCACTCGCTGTCTCTGGAAAATAGAACTCGGTTCTTCTTTTCTCTTGGCTTTAGGTTTGGCTTTATCTTGTTCTTCTAAAGTGCCACCAACACCCTTTGGAAGAATGATACCGGCATGTGTGTGACTGTGTGTACCGGCAGTATGACATAGCTTCAACAAAAGCTGACTTAATGCCATGCACTGCAGTAAGCACTCTGGAGTTCATAACTGGTCCTAAGTCTGGTGCCGGATAGATCACTCCAGCAATGGAGTAATCAGCCAGTGGGATGACTTGGGCAGGAGACTGCCGCTGCTGCTTCCGATTGATAAAAAGAATGGGCTCCTGAACATGTAAAAGGATGTATTCGACACCAACCATCTGATTCAAGAGTTCCAGTATCAGTCTCTGCATTTTGACCACTTCATTATTACATGTCCTATCATAAAAAGGATTACTTCTTTCTGAAAAGTAATCCAGGACACTACCATGGTACAAAATGGGGATCCAGGAGCTGTCAACCCAAGAGATTCCCAACAGATTATCTTGAATATCCACCGCCGCCATGATTCCAAAAGCGTTCACGGGTTCTTTTTCCAGCGCACAGGAAACATAACTGCGATGATGAAAGCGATGGGAAGTTATGTGTCAATTTAAAAATAGAAATAAAAGTGAAATGCCTTTTATATTCTTCTGTGATAAGTACTGAAAGTAAATGTTTTGCTTGGTTAATACTGACTTGATTTAAGGAGCTAATGAAAACAAAATTGAGTTACATTAAAGCAAGTGTAATATGGTACAATCCTTTCTTTTTCGTGACTAACTTTCTGCTTCAGGACATATCAAACCAGCATCTCATTCTGAAAATAAATTACTCAAAATGGGGAGGGAGGAGTGAGGGGAGGGATGAAGAGTAGAGGAGTAATCCAGGTAAGTGTATATATAGGCACTTTGGTTTTTAGTTTTGTTTTTTAGGTTTGCTCATTCATTCACAAAGCATTTGCAAGAACCTTTTTTATGCTAGTTCCAGGAATACAGTAAGTGTAAGACAAGGTCTTCAAGGGTGACTAAGAAGTACATAAATTATTATACTCTGTTATATATATATATA